CCCGAGCGGGGCATGGCAGGAACGGCGGGGCTGGCACGCAGGCCTCCCGCGACCCCCCACGCCTAGGAGCACAGGGAGCGGGAGCTGGCAAGTACGTGCACGGCAACTGGGGCGCGGGTACCCGCCGGGCAGGAGGATGGGGCCCTGGGCCGGCCTTCTGGAGACCGCCCGTCCGCTCCCGGGTCTGCCACTGACAGGCTACGTGACCCCTGGCCTGTTGCTTCACCCCGCTACCTCCGTCTCTTCTCTCAGACCCTTGTCAGCCTGATTTCCTTCAGAGAAGGCAATCCCTCGGGCAGCCCACAGGCTTGCTCGGGGAAGGGTAAGGGCCCTTCTCCTCAAACACCTTGGCCAGTCCCGCTCTCGTACTTGGAGGGGGCGGGGGGGGAGGCTTTCTTTGCCGACTTGACCGGCATGACCAGCTCCAGTCCTGGCGGGGGGGCTCTAAACACGGCTGACAAGCACAAGGCGCCCTCCGCTAGCCTGGGGCTGGCTCCAAGAGCACCTCCCACGTCCCAGACAGCCCCAGCGCATTTCATCCGTCTCGCCAAGGGGATCGAGCTCCGGGGATCTGAAAGGCCATCGATCGCACAGGCCAGGCCCCCAGGCCCCCATCGTTCGCCTGCTCACGGCCACAAGCTCTGCTCTGAGAGCAGACTCGTGCCCACACTGCTCTGCGGGCTCTCGCTAGCAGCTTCCCTGGGGGCCAGCGTGCCACCTCTTGCAACCTGCCACAAGGTCCTGTCCTCTTTCTCTACGTGCCCGGCGAGCCAAAGTCAAGGGGGCAGGCAATTTGTGGGAAGTCAAGAGACAGTGCCTCCGCAGGAGCACCCCCGGCTCAGTGCCGATAGGATCTCCCTCTCATGCGGCCGGGGACAAAAGGCCCCGGGGGTCCGACGAGGACCTAGGCGGAGCCCGTCCAGGGTCTGAGATTGTGCCCGAGATCGAGACAATGAGCCAGAGGGCAGAGAGCTGGGTGGGACGCGGCCGTTCGCAGGTCCCAAACCAAGCCCAACTCCCCCAGCGTTTGGGCCCGCAGAGATGCATGCTGAGCCCCGGCGGCCTCAGCAAGGTCCGCGGAGCCGTCGGGGAGCACCGCGGGACCTGGCCCGGACAGACGGCCTTGCGCCCAGGTCGCACGCCTGCACGCGGGCTCACCACTCCTCTTCCGACAGCCATTCGGAAACCCTGCCGTCTCTCCTAGCCAGGACCCTGCTCCGCACGCGGCAGAGCCAGCCAGGATCCTGCCCGCCCTCCCCCTACACGGGACGCTCGCACGGTCTCGGCCGTGACACGGGGCTCCGCAGAGGAGACCGTCCTGGCTCCCTCCCAAGCAGCACAGTCTGCGAAAACAAAGGCCCTCTCTCCTCTCCTTGGTCTATAAATACCCACAAATTCCACCGTCGCGGCCGCTGCCCAACCACAGGTTTGGTGTCGCCTCACCACCGGTTTGCTCTCCTCTCCTTCCTTCTCCCCAGCGGCTCGTCTAAGCACCCACGGCTCCGTGGCCAAACAGTTCGCATATGGCGCGCTCGCGACGCGTTCACGAGAGAACGGCTTCGCTCAGACTCTCCGGCCTGCTGGCAGACGGCGCCACCAGTGTCTGCCGCGACACCTTCTCTTGCCAAGAAGCCCCTTGTCAAAAATCCCTCCCAGCAGACCCTCGTTGCCACTGCGGCAATGCATCCAGCTTTCCTGCCCATCGAACGTACCCTCCAGAGCTAGCAAATCACCCGGCCTTTGTGTTTGAGCGCTGAGGCGGGCAGTACCCTGTTCTGGGCTCAGACTGGGGAGGGGGCTGCGCTCCGAGTTGCCGCCCCCGCATCCTCCTCCTGCCAAACAAGCGCCCAGGGCTGCCAACACTCCCGATGTGACCGCCGGCCCTGAGATAATTGCTGCCTGGCTCGCAGCCCCAGCCCTGGGAGACAAAGGATGGTCTGGGGGATCTCGACCCCTCCGCGCAGCCCTCAGGGCCTCCCGCTGGCTCACGACCCTGGCGACACCAGCTCCTTGCACAAAGGGGCTCCAAACCCACGGAGGGCTCCCACCGCTGCGGGGCCTGGCCCCGCCGCTCTCCCGGGGAGAAGCCTTCTGGACCCTGGACCCAACCCTCCGGGCCCCTGCCCAAAAGCGGCGTCTCACGAGCAGCATGCCATCGCTTGCCCACAGGACCCGAGGCTGGTGCGTGGCATTGGTTAGGTACTGCTCGGTGCCACCCAGCGCGCAAGTGGTGGCCGGCTCCCACTACACACCTGTCTGATGGCTTCTTTCCCAGGCACCCCTTCGGGCCTGTGTTTCCACAGCAGACCTGCGCTCGCGTCTGCGTGGCACCGGCCACGGCCGCAGCAACCGCGCACCTGGTGCCGGTTGCTCGCACTCGTCCCCCCAGTGATGCTGCAGCAGCTTGCTGCAAGGCACCAGGGAATCCCACCAGCAAGGCGGGGGCCGGCACCAGTGCCTCAGAGCCGGGCTCCGGCAGGGGACAGGGCGATGCCACAGCTGTGAGCTCCCCACCGGGACACCCCATCTTTGCCACCTCTCCACTTCCACCCGGTTGGGAAACTCCCTTCTCCCCCGGCACAAAGCAGAGCCTCTTCAGCGGCGTGCGGGGAGGGCCGTTGGGCGCCACTGCGGGGGCCACACTGGGACAGGAGCTCGAGGCGCGGGTCAGGCACTGGGAAGGTTTCGGCCTCTCCCCATCTCCACACAGCCATGCGCTCTGTGGAGAGCTAGTGACGGGTACACGCAAGGACCCACACCTTTGCGGGACAAATGACAGCGCTAGGCATCACCGGGCGACGTGCGCACGCCAGAGCCACGCGCTGCGACTGGCGGAGCAGGGTGCGACCTCTGCAGACCCACAGCCTGCCTCCCCCCCTTCTCCCCAGCAGAGGCAAGGAACGCGGCTCGGGGGCTGGGGCGCGGGACGTGGGACGACAGGCTGTGGGAATGGGGCCTATTTCGTCCGCAGAGCAGGAGACGGAGCCTGGGGTCTGACAGGACGGGGCGGGACGGGGCTGAGCAACGGGCTCCAGGTGCGATGAGGGAAGTTGAGGCGGGATAGGAGGCCAACCTCTCGCATGAGGAGGGCCATCAGGCACTGGCTCAGGGAGGTGGTGTAGTCTCTGTCCTCGGGGGCTTTCAAGACCCGGCTGGACACATCCTTGCCTGGGATGCTCTAGTCGGGGCCGGTCCCGCTTGGACTAGCTGGGACCTCCCAATGTCCCTTCCCAGCCTCGTTTGGATGCTCCTCTGCATGGGCCAGGAGGCAGCCAACCGGCTCCGTGGCACTGGCCCCCTCCTCCGGAGAGAAGAAACCGCAAGCAACTCATGCCGCAGATGACCTGGCTGCAGCCTCTCCTGTCTCGGCTCCGGGACCCCCGACTAGACTTCTTGGGAGCAGAACGAGCGCTTCACCCATCAGGCAGGGGCAACATCCTGGCCTTTGCCCTCGACCGGCCTTGCTCACTGGCGGGTGAGGCATCAGGCGGCACGAGCAGCCCCAGAGGCTGCGCACGCACGAGGCTGTTTGCGTCAACAGAGGGGCAGACACGACAGGCTGCCCCGGTACCTGGCGGGGACGCCAGTCAAATGCCGAGGACTGCGGTCCCTGCCGTGCGTTACAGACACCGGAGATTGGGCTGGCAAGCCCGCGATCTCCACCCAGGGCAGGCATCGGCACCTGTTCAGAAGCCCGGCCGCGAGCACCGCTTTTGCAGCGGCAAGCCCGGAAAAAGGGCAAAGGGGGTCCGTCAGGGCCCATCCGCTCAGGTCCCACTGCCGGGAAGGGGAGAGCAGGATGAGGGCCCACGCTCTGCCCATGTCACCTCCCGTCAGCCCGGCACTTCCTACCCGGGACTGGCCCACACGTGGGCACTTCCTACCTGGGACTGGCCTGCACGTGGGCTGCCCAGAGCAGCGTCTCTGGGGACAGGGGGGACACCGAGCTGCTGTGACCGCCATCCGAGCGCAGGAAGGCAGCGTCGGGCAGTGAGCCCAAGTGCCCCCCAGCCTACACCATGAGTGCTGGCTCTCTGTCCAGCCCTCCCCTGTTGGGGACACAGCCCCGCAAATGTGGGGGGGTCTGAGCCCTTTCAGGGGGAAGGCCGCCACCTGGAATCGCAATGGCAGGCCCAGTCAGGGCAGGAGGGCAGCTGGGCAGACCCCCCCGGGCCTCCCTACCCCTGGACTACTTGGGCACCCGGCTCTGTGGGCAGGGGAGGCTGCCCAGGGCGAAGGGCACTCAGCTGGACTGGGGCGGGGGGCAGCAAGGGAGCCTGGCATGGGGGGCTCGGTGCTCTGACTTGCCCACCACCGGGCCTTCCCCGCGCCCTCCTTTGGGCGAGCAGCAAAGGCCGCGCGGGGACAGGCTCACGGAGCATCAAGGCCTCCCCAGCTCTCCCAGCAACGCCGCCGTCAGCCATGGCAGAGCACCCACAACCGGGCTCCCAGCTGGCGCGTCTCTTTTTGCCAAGGAGCCTTCAGGAGCCAACGGCGCTGTCCCCTGCCGGGACGGCCACCGCGGGCTGCCTCGGCTCCGGGGAACACAGGCTCACCTGCCGAGCCCCTGCCCTCAGCGCGCCGCGCCCCAGACCCGCCATCCCCTGCCCCAGAGCGCAGGCAGCGTGGGTGTCCCGGGACAAGGGGCGCTCGGCAGCTTAACTGTTAAACCGCAGCAAGCTGGCTCTGCGCTGAGCTCACTCTGATGTCACGCCTGTAACTCGAGCCGGCTCGGCCTCACGCCGGGCTGCCTTTAAATACCGGCCCCGGCAGCGCCTTTCGCACCGGTCCCGGAGCAGGCGAGATCGATGAAAGTCCCGAGCGGAGCCTCCGCCATGTCCACGTCCCTGCGGGTGAGCCCGTCGGTCCACGGCTACCGCTTCGACACCGCCTCACGCAAGAAAGCCGTGCCCAACATCTTTGAGGCCATCAGCCAAGAGTCACTGCAGAAGCTCTTCAGGAACTCGGGCGACAAGAAGGCCGAAGAACGGGCCAAGATCCTCCTCGCCACGGACCAGGACTCGGAGGACCGAACGCGGGCCTTGCTGGCCCTGAAGCAGCGGAGGAGAGACAAGCTCCTCCAGTTCCTGACCCTGCGGAAATACTCCCTCAAAGTGCGCTGAGCCGCCGCCTGGGAAAGGACCGGGACAAGATAGTGGAGGAACGAGACAGCGCTCAGGATGTGGCCCCGTGCCTCGCAAGCTTCCAGCAGGACGAGGGGCCCCGCAAAACAGGCCCCAAGCCGACGCTCCCACCGCACCCCCGGCAGGCGGAGAGCCAAGCAGAGGACCGCAGCCTGCTCGTCCGGGAAGCTGCCCCAAGTGCCACCGCTGAGACTCTGGTCTGCCGGGGCAGGGGATCCCCGCGACTAGGCTGCAATGGAGCATTTCTTTCGCACTCCTCCAGTGCCCCGACACGAGGCACCGTGCGGGCGTCAGGAGCTGAACTTTCGGGGGCTGCGCTCTCCCAAGGCACCCGACGCGACTGCATCTCTTATCCCCTTGCGGGGCAGTATCCCTGCCATACGACTCGTTTGCACGGCAGCAAACAACCCGGGCACCCCCGCCCTGAACTGCCTTGGCTGGGAAAGCCTCTGTTAGATAGCGCGTTTGCTTCTCACAACTGCCAATCTGCCCCGAGGCCTGCTCAGCCTCAGAGACAGCACGATAGACAGGAGAAAATAGACTGCAAGGGGCTGGATGTATCCCACGGTAAGACTGGAGGACAATGCTAGACTGCTCTCGACTGTGATTTATGGTCCCACGGCCATCTGCAGCCCAATAAATGATAAAGATTGTGCAAGCTCTTTGGGTTTCCAATGCGTGACTTGGAAAGGGGAGCGGTGTTGTCCGGGGGCTTTTCAGGGCGGGAGGCAAGGTGTGGGCGCTCTCCTCTACCGCCAGACACCCCAAGCAAAAGCAGAGGCTCAACTCTCGGGGTGCAATCCTGGGCCGGTGCGGGCTGGGGGAGGCTTGCCCAGGAGCATACCGGTGCCAAAATGCCCGCCCTCCTCACTAGGCTGGCACACCCGAGGGAGCTTCAGAGGAAAGCGCCCCTGACTTGCTCTGAGTCACTCATTGTTAGGACCCAGTCCCCGTGTGCGTGTTGCCTCCTCTGCCCTGACAACCCAGCCCGCGGCCGCTTAGAAACCAGGTCCACCCACCCACACCCACCCTGCA